ATTTCACTTCTCACATACAGGTGGTCAAACTAGAAACCAACCCAAATAGCTATTTCCCAAGGTCTTGTTCTTCACAAACAATGTATAATATAAAAGAGTTTTTAAAACTCAATAAGAAAAACAACTTGATTTTAAAATGGGTAAAATTCTTTAACATTGGTTTTGGCAATGATTTTGGATATGACACAAAAATCAGACAATAAAAGCAAAAATAAGTGTGACTATATCAAACTGAAAAGCTTTGCACAAAAAAGGAAACAATCAATAAAATGAACAGGCAACCTACAGAATGGGGGAAATATTTGCAAACCATATATTCAATAAGGGCTTAACATCGGAAATAAATAAGGAACTCAACTCAATAGGTAAAAATATTACCTGATTAAAAACAGGCAAAGCACCTGAATAGACATCTTCCCAAAGAAGATACACAAATAACCAACAGGTATATGAAAAGATGCTCAACATCGGTAGTCATCAAAGAAATGCAAATGAAAACCACAATAACCTCACACCTGTTAGGATGATTATTATCAAAATGTCAAGAGATAACAAGTGTTGGTGAGTATATGGAGAAAAAGGAACACTATCATGTTGGTGGGAATGTAAATTGGTATAGCCATTAGGGAAAACAGTTTAAAGACTCTCAAAAAAACTTAAAAATAAAACTACCATATATGTGATCTAGGAATCCCACTTCTGGGTATATATCCAAAATAAATAAAATCACTATCTCGAAAAGATATTTGTACTCCCATGTTGGCTGCAGCATTATTCACAACAGCCAAGATATGGAAACAACCTAAGGGTCCATCAACAGCTGAATGAATAGAGAAAATGTGGTGTATATATACACAAAGGAATATCACTTAGCCTTAAAAAAGAAATTAATCTTGTCATTTGCAAAAACATGGATGAACCTGGAAGACATTAAGCCAGACACAGAAAGACAAATGCTACATGATCTCACTTACAAGTAGAATCTAAAAAAGTTGAACTCACAGAAACAGAGAGCAGAAAGATGGTTACCAGGGGTCAGGGAGTGGAGGAAATGAGTTGTTAGTCAAAGGGTACAAATTTCAGTTATAAGTTCTGGAGACCTAATGTACAGCATGGGGACCAAAGTGAATAATAATGTATTGTACACTTGAAATTTACTAAGAGAATAGATCCTAAATGTTCTCACCACACTAAAAAAAAAAAAAAAAAAAGATAACTGTGAGGTGATACGTATGTTAAATTAGCTAGATTGTGGTCATTTCACAATGTATGTATATATCAAAACTTTACATTGCATACCTTAAATACATACCATTTGTCAATTGTGCCTCAATAAATCTAGAACAAAATTAAAATTAAAATTAAATGAGCAAAAGATTTGAACACTTTACCAAAGATGTACAAATAGCCAATAGGCACATGAAGAAACACTTGATGTCATTAGACATCAGGGAAATGCAAATTAAAATATAATGAGATAATATGCCACATCCATTAGAATGGCTAAAATTAAACATGGCATTACCAAGTATTAGTACTGTTAGTGGGAAAGTAAAATGATACAGTCCCTTTGGAAAATAGTGTGGCAGGTTTTTATAAAGTTACATATAGTCACGCCCTACATAACAACATTTATATCAATGACAGACTGCATATACAATGGTGGTCCCATAAGATTATAATGGAGCTGGAAAATTTCTACCACCTAGTGATGTCATGGCCATCATAATGTTGTAGTGTAAAACATTACTCACATGTTTCTGGTGATGCTGGTATAAACAAACCTACTTCTCTGTCAGTTTTATAAAAATATAGTACATACAATTATGTATAGTATACAATACTTGATAATAAACTATGTTACTGGTTTATGTATGTAGTACACTATACTTTCATTGTTATTTTATAGTATATTCCTTCTATTTATTAAATAATTAACTGTAAAATAGCCTCAGACAGGTCCATCAGGAGGTATTCCACAAGTATTAATAATTGTTATCATTGAAGATGACAGTTCCACCCATGTGATTGCCCCTGAAAACTTTCCAGTGGGACAAGATGTGGAGCTAGAAAACAGTGATATTGATGATCCTGACCCTGTGTAGGCCAATATGTATGTTTGTGTCTTAGTTTTTTACAAAAATGTTTAAGAAGTAAAAAAATTGAAAAAGCTTATAGAATAAGGATATAGAGAAAAAATATTTTTATTCAGCTATACAATGTACAGTTTTCAGCCAAGTGTTATTACAACAAAGTCAAAATGTTTTTAAAAATTAAAAGGTTTATAAATTTAAAAAGCTATAGTAAGCTAAGATTAATTTATTTCTGAAGAAAGAAATGTTTTTTGTAAAGTTAGTGTAGCCTAAGTGTACGGTATTCATAAAGTCTACAGTAAAATAGGCCTTCACATCTTCACAATCACTCACCACTCACTGACTCACACAGAGCAACTTCCAGTCCTTCAGGCTCTATTTATGGTAAGTGTCCTATGCAAGTATACCATATTTTTATCTTTTATACCTGCGGTCCCCAATCCCTGGACTGCCAACTGGTACTAGTCCATGGTCTGTTAGGAACCGGGCTGCACAGCAAGAGATGAGCAGCAGGCAAGCTAGCAAAGTTTCATCTGTATTCACAACCACCCCCCATCACTGGCATCACCACCTGAACTCCACCTCCTGTCAGATCAGCAGCGGCATTAGAGTCTCAGAGGAGCACAAACCCTACTGTAAACTGCACATGTGAGCAATCTAGGTTGTGGGCTTCTTATGAGAATCTAATGCCTGATGATATGAGGTGAAGCTGAGGTAGTGATGCTACTAGCACTGGGGAGCAGCTCCAAATTCAGATTATCATTAGCAGAGAGATTAACAATGTAATAATAATAGAAATAAAGTACAAAATAAATCTAATATGCTTGAATCATCCTGAAACCATCCCTCACACCCCGGTCTGTGGAAAAACTGTGTTTCATGAAACCAGTCCCTAGTGTCAAAAAGGTTGGGGACTGCTGTTTCATACCATATTTTTATTTGTACTTTCTTTATGTTTAGATATACAAACATTTACCACTGTGTTACAGTTGCCTACAGTACTCAGTATGGTAATATCCTGTACAGGTTTGTAGCCAGGAGCAATAGGCTATAACATATAGCCTAGGTGTGTAGTAGGCTAGACCATCTAGGTTTGTGTAAGCACTCTCTATGTTTGCCTAAGGATACATTTCTCAGAATGTATCCCCATCATTAAGCAACACATGACCATATACTTTATTATATGATCTAACAATTCCATACCCAGGCGAAATAACATAAGCCTCCATGAAGATTTTTACATGAATGTTTATAGCAGCTTGAATAATGATAGCCCCAAACTTGAAACAGTCCAAATGTCTACCAATACGTGAATGGATAAACAAATCATGGTATAGCTATACAATAGAATACTATTTAGCAAGGAAAAAAGAATAAACTACTGATATACATGACATGAATGAATCTCAAAAACATTATGTCAATTAAAAGAAGCCAGCCATAAAAAGGTACATAATTTGATTCCATTTATATGAAACCACTAAAGACAAATCTTATATAAAATTGCAAGTAGATCTGTGGTTGAGTAGAACTTGTGAATTGGCTAGAAGAGTGACCAAGGAACAATCTAGGGTGATACAATTATTCTATATCTATCAATATATTTTGATGATGGTTACATGTATATATACTTTTTTTAGCATATTATGGGGGTACAAATGTTTAGGTTATGTATATTACCCTTGCCCCACCCCCGAGTCAGGGATATATACTTTTGTCAGAATTCATACTTAATACTTAAAATCAGTGCATTTTATCATATATAAATTATACCTCAATAAAGTTGATTGTTTAAAGATTTTTTGTGAAACTTGACATATTAATTCTAAAATTTACATAGAAGAACAAAGTGTCAAAAATAGCCAGGATAATATTCAAGATAAATAAGGGGAAGGATGTCATTTAATCAGATATCAAAATGTATTAACAAATTACATTATTTAAGACAGTATGAGGACAGTCTTTGTTGTAGGGACAGACACATAGAGCAATGGAACTCCAGAAACACACCCATGCATACTTGATATGCAAGACCAATGATTCTGCATATCCGTGGGAAAAGGCAAATCTTTCAATGAATGGTGCCAAGTTAATCAATTTTCCATATGAAGAAAATTATCTCTATTTTATACCATATACAAAAATCAATTCCAAGTATATTAAAGATCTAACTGTGATAAGCCAAATTTTTTTAAAAATTTTAAAGAAAACATAGGAGACTATGAACTCGAAGTAAGAACAGATTCCTTAAACAGGAAGTAAACAAACCATAAAGGAAGGACTCATAACTTTTACTACAATTAAATTCTAAATGTCTATAAATCAAAAGACACTCTCAAAATGTAAAAAACACCAGGCCACATACTAGGATAAAATGTTTATAATTCCTATAAGCAACAGATGATCAATAGCCAGATTGTACAAAGAACTTATAAAAATCAAACTAGAAAAAAACAGCAAAACTTATAGGAAGAAAATTCACCAAAGTAGAAATGTGAATGACCAAGTGGCATTTTTAGAACAATGTTCAGGAAAACAGATAATTAAAATGCAATGAAATTCTTTTTCTATCTTTCCGATTAGAAAAAAACTAAAAAGTCTACCAATATTCACTGTTGGAGGATATGAAGCAGCAAAAGTCTAAATTGGTAACAACTTAAGAAGCCATTTGGCAACCCCACAGGAGTGTGGAACAGCAAAATGTTGCAAACAACTTAAAAGTTCAACAGAAGAATGGATGAATAGTGATATAACCATATACAAAAAAGCTATACATAAGCTAAAAGTAATGAGCTACAGGTGTGTGTGTGTGTGTGTGTGTGTGTGTGTGTGTGTGTGTGTGTATATAGAAAGAGAGAGAGAGAGAGATCAACATGGACAAATTTCAAAAGTATAAAATTGAGTGAAAAAGTTATAAAACATGTATATATGGTGTGATACCATTTATACAGACTTACAATATACATAACAATACCATATATTAACCATATGGTTAATACATACTTGGTAAATATAAAATCTTTATGGGAATGATAAACACCAAATTCAGGATAGTAGGTACCTGTGGAGGGAAGGAAGAAAATGGGACTGAGACAAAGTAAACAAGACTAAGAGTTTTCTTAAGCAAGATGGTGTTCACTATATTATTCCCAACATTTATTTGTAACCTTAAATTATTTCACAAGAAAAAGGAGGACACAAAGATCAGTGTTAGAATGCCCATCAAGGACTGCTCAAGGGAGAAAGCGCTCTGACAAGTAGTCCATTGGCATATCTGGTCCAGCCAGTTTCAGTTTTTTAAATAGATGCATCAGCACATTAGTGCCTGATGATATTCATCAGCTGAATCACACAACAAATCCTCTGGCTCAAACTTCAGACTCACTAAAGAGCCTTCTAAAAAATTTGGCTTCCTATAATTTTCCCAAAAGGAGAAAGCATTCACTAGCCATAATATAGACACCCAGTGTTTCTGACAGTACATTTCTAACTGTAAGTTAATAAACTGGCACTCTAGTTTTCATACTTCAGTCCCTGCTAAGTTTAGTTAAGATAAAACAGCTTTCCTGAGTCTGATCAATTCTGGAGCAGTGACATGAGTGTGCTTCTGGGTCTACAAGCATGAGAACCAAACCCAGACCCTTTTTCCAGGCAACATACCAACCTTATTCTTTGCTTTCCAAACTTCAAGCAGTCAGGAGCAAGAAATTTTTCAAGTAAGAGATAAAAACAAAATTCCTTATAAATGCCTAGTTGTTTTCTCTTCTCTTTGTTATGACTCCAGAATCTAAGAACCATAATGTTGCAGCTAAAAGAAGAGAAGAGAAAGAGGTAGGCTGTTTCAGACAGGATCTTACAGAATCTCAATACCTCAACCAGAGTCTGGATCTCACTTTTGAAGATCAAGCAAGTTTGGTTTTTTTTCTGTACACTCTGATGTGATCAAACTCTGGGAGACAGATTCATACTAAGCAAAGTCTTAAGAGTCCAATTTATTTATTTATTAACTACAAGATATATATGCATTGAGAATAGGAATCAGTTGTTTACCATGAGATGTTCCCTTCCATTGGATAGATTCATCCAAGAGATATCAGAGGTTATTTTTAATAGATGAGCTTTAAAGCAAGGGAGTTTTATTCTCCAATTGTTACTGTATCATGCTATGGTAACCTGATGATTTTAACAGTTTTTCCTAAAAGGGAAAGAAAAGTACAAAAATAACCTTTTTATTGAGTACATTATGAACTGGAAACATTACATTATGTGCTATATGTTTGACACATATTGATATATTAGTTATTACTTAATTTCATTCTCATAGCAACCTCATGATTAGGAGTGTTATACTCATTTTATCAAAGAGGAAACTGAGATCCTGAAAAGTCAAGTGACTTTCTTATATTAGCAAAGCCAGGTTTTATACCCAAATCTCATTCCATAACATATGTGTTTGCTACCATAACACTGCCTTATGTTCCAGTAATATTTCTCTCTAAACAACTACAGTCAAACAACTAGGACCAGAGCAGTCCCATCTTTTGGACATTGCTAGAGACACACCAATTAATACTCATCCTCTGACTCTCCTTTTCCTACTTCAATGCAACCATACTTAATGTCTTTGAAGGAAACTTGAGAAACACCATTGCTAATTAGCAGCACTTAATAATTTCCCAGGGTGGATTGCTGCTGCAAATAACTCATCTCCTCCCATTTAACTTATCTCATCATATTTAATGGTTCTCAATAGCTTCAATTCCAGAGCAGGCATTTTCTGACCTGACCTCCTTAGTGCATGACTTATTTGAAGTTCACTATGGGCTAATAATAATCAACCAAACACACTCCTGTACCCTTTAAAAGATAAAAGATCCTGTATCCAATTCCTCAGATGGCCAAAATTTCCTATCTTGGCCCTGTTCCCCCTACCTATTCCTGTGATCTCAGATTACCCCTTTCTGCATGCTCTACCCTAGAAGGATCTCTGAGCAGCACCCCTCACCTTGGCTTGGTCCTTATCTATAAATTCTAGCCAGAGCATTCCAGATGTTGAAGATCTTAAATCAGCACATTCTCTGACATACATAGAGCTGTGATAAATCAACCATGCAATACTACTAGATTTTACAAGCAGAGAAGAGAATTCCATGTATAAAGACATTAAGGAAATAGTGTGCTCAGGAACCAAAGAGTATTTGTCTTTGGCTGAAGCATGTAGAGAAAAAGAGTATTAGGAACTGTGGCTGGAAAAGCAAGTGGGGAGTAGGCTGTGAAGGGCTTTACATAGAATCATGTGAGGTAGGCAGAGAAGAAACTTCAGTGAAGGACACTGATAACAATGAATCAAAGTTGGAGGATAAGCAGGGAAAGTGGTGCCAGAAGCCAAAAGAAGTGATTTCTATTAAGTAAAAGATAAGATAATAAAATGTATTTTATAAAGTTACAATAAATAAAACTGTAGCATATCGGCAGAAGAGCAGATAATATAGATCAATATAACTAGATAAATAGCCCACAAACAGATTATTATATTATATATATATTTAGTTGATACGTGGTCTGTATGCTACATAGTTAATATAGGTAAAGTACTTAGAAAAGTGTTTGGTCCACAGTAATCACCCAATAAATGTTAGTGGCTGTCTTTGTTACTACTTATTGTTGTTATAATTACAGAAGGGTGGATTACTATTTATGGTTGTTATAATTACAGAAATGCAATCAAGGGAACACACAGAGAAATCAGCCTTGGAAAGGAATGGAATACCTCGTATTCTTGAGACAAAAAGGATATTAAAAATTAGTGAAGATACAATTACCTTCAAGTTTCTAAAAGAGGTTCCTAGGGTGAGCTGCATCAGAATCACCTAATGTAATTATTTAAAAATCAAATTCTTATACTCCATTTCAGACCCACTAAATCAGAATTTCTAGTGATGGGGCCCAAGATGCTGCATTTTAGTGATCTGTGACCCAGTGGATTCTTTTAAGAAGAATGGAAGTTAGAAGAATTCATATATGTTGGCCCCTACAAAAAAAGCAAAACTGACTCCTTGCCCAGCAACCATTATGAACTGAGCATACCAAATCCCACCACTGGAGAGGAGAGAAAAAAATGATTATGCCCTGAGATAAGCTAAAAATAAGGAAGAAGATTCTACCTAGCATTAGTCTTCCAAGTCAATGAAGCCTTAAGCTCTTTCCTATAATATGCTAACTCTCTAATGTAAACAACTTTATCCCTAACTTTTGCAATCCTGACACCTACAAGTTTGATAATCACATGGGGAATTACTGTCTTATCCACCTTAACAGACTAACTGTAATCTTGGTAACCTAGTGATTTTTCTATCCTTTAAATGTCTACTATATTATTTATTCAAGGAAACATTCTTCTCAAGACTGAACTCCTAATGCTTTTTGAATCACTCCCCCATCTTAACAAAGAAAGAGGTAAAGTGATCTGTTAAAAGGAAGATGGGGAGGTAGTGAGGTAGGAAGCTTGAAAAGATTGGAAAAAGTTTGAAAACTCTGCCAAGGAGTCTGGGAAAGGGAATCCACTAGGAATGAGGAAGGATTGCCTGGCAATACTCAGAGCTCAGACAGGTTGAATATCATAAATGTGTAGAGAGAAGCTAAGGCACAACCATATGTGATATTTGCCACCTAAGAGCCTGATAGAAGAAGCAAAGAAAATGGAGTTAGGTTAATTCCAGGTTTGGTATTGGCAGGGCAGGTGCAAAGAAAAATAAAGGGTCCAGGGACACGCAATGGTCCTTGGAGAGCATTACAGGTATGAGAAGAAGAAATAGAAATCCTTACAGGACCTCTCCTGGCCCACCAGATATTAATAACTAATAATAGCTAACATTTATTGAGCATTTACTATGTGCTAGCACTGCTCTAAGAACTTCACATGTAGTCATCCTCACAATAACTCTGTGAAGTATTATTCTTACCCACATATTACAAATGAGAAAACCGAGTAACAGAAAAGTTAAGCAGTTTTCCCACTTGCAAACAGCTGTAAGTGGGAGAGCCAGAATTTGAGCCCAGGCAGTCTAACTTCAGGGCCCATCTTCTTAACCATTAAGTGATTCTTTCCCTTGGAAAAAGACAGAATAGCTAATCCCATGGTTATATTAGGTTGATAGTGAAGGATTCCGGGTATCCTATGGACAAAAGTGGGTGCCTTCCCTTGGTGCAATTGCCTCACCTGGGAAGAAGGACAAGAATGGGGCCCAGGCCCTGTCTTAGTCCTGACCCACCTTAATCCTGTTCCAAGCAACTGCCATACTTGGGGGAGGAGGAAACACCCTATGAATCTGCCAATCAGAACTTAGTATGCCAACTGCAAAAGATACAGAGGACTCTCTAGCCCACAAGTCAAGCAGCATAGGTACAATAGAGTCTGGAAAGTGACCTAGAACAGCCAGCTTTCAGAGAGGGTCACAGGAAATCCACGTGCATAGTAGGACTCACTACTCATTTTTATACACTCAGGCTTACTAAGCACCAGGTCATATAACTCCCAACTGTTCAAAATGGTTCCACAGTGACGTCTGAACGACTGAAGGTCCCTATCCAGACACCCTAAAACAAGACCAAGACCATAACCAAGGCTCTCTTTTTGCCCTTTCTTGCTACAGCAACGGGTCCAGTCATTGTCTGTGGTGTATGTATCTGCCTCTGTAAACCTGTATCTTGCTCTTGTTCTATAATCCTATCTTTCTATCCTCTATAAACCCCATTTTCGTGCTTGCCTTACTTTGGTGCATCTGGTCATTCTTCAGCTGTGAGCATGCCAAGAATCAACATTTCAGACTGAAACCTGACAGTTACATTTAGAAACATGTAATTTACAACTAGCCAGTAGCCCTGCCTCCCAATGTTTAGCCTCACTGTTCACATTTGATGTTTTCAGTCTTCATATCTCAAATGCAACAGTTACAGTGTGTTACCTTGACATAATGGAGTATAAAACAAAGCTTAAAGGGAAATACAATAATCATGTAAAGTTCAGGAACAGCTAGGTCCTGTGCTCTTGTCTTCATCAAGATTAACTCCAAGATTCCAACTTAGCAGACCAGATAGATAGTGTTAGCACTAACAGAATTCAAGTACTAATAATACAGAATAGAGCAGGTTTAGAAACATAGATAAACTTAGTTTAGGGCATTCATTCATTCAACAAATATTTTTAGAGCATTTAATATGTAGATGATACTGTGCTGGATTCTGGGCATCCAATGGGGAACAATACCAAGTCCTAGTCATCTGGCAGCATTCATTCTAGGGTGTGCTAGAGGAGACTGAACAAGTAAACAATAAGTAAAAAACAGGAGGCTGTGACAAATAATTAAGGGAACCTCTTTTATATGGGGCATTCAGGGACATAACACATTTGAGATCCTCAAAGATACGCAGGTAGATATACAGGTCCTAATGACATGTTGTCATTATGGCTTCATGCCAGCTTCCCAGGAACCTCTGTATTTAAGAATATTTTATGATGCTGTAATGCAGACTTCTCAACCTGGTGCTCTAGGTGCTATGGCCAGTCCAACCCTGCCTATCTATCCTCTTCATACCACCACTCCCAAATATATCCTCTGCATTGTATTCAGGCCAATCTCCTTATTGGCCCACAATACATCAAGGTCACCCCCACCCTGTTATCTCCCTGACACCTATTAATTCTACCCATCCTTCAAGACCAGGTTCAAGTTCTACCTTCCTCATTTTTATCCACTCAGGCTTACTGAGCACCTTCTACTCTAAACTACTAGTTCCCAGGCAATTAATTACCTAAAAATATAGTCTTCTGTCTTTCACTACTGTTTCACATGTGTCAAAACTAAGGACTTTAACACAGGGCACCACAATCTCCTCCCAGCAAGTGTGGGCAGAAAAGGAAAGGGATTTGGCACATGTCCAGAGTTCTCAGGGCTAGAGACAAAGAGAACTGACTCAGACTCCGAGAGGCAACTCAAGAGGCAAGCACAGTGTCCAAGGGGCAAAATTCCCAAACTGAGGGGCACAGAGTCTGCTCAAGCAGAAAGGTCTCAACAACTGAGAATACAGAAAACAAGGAGGCAGTTCTACAAGGATCCAGGTGAGATATCTAATTGAGGAGTAGAGAACAAAGCATAAACCCAGTATCATGATGGGTCCAACACAGGATAGAGGAAGTAGAGAATTGTGACCTGGGGATAACCAGGGGTACCACATATTAACTGACAGCAAAAGGAATCTGGGGAATAATTCAGAACCTATAAACCAAAAATGGGTGACCAAGTTTAAGGATTTGACCTAATTCTAAGCTGTAGGTAGAGACCATCAATAGGCTTGTTTTGGGGGAAGTGGGGAAAAAAGATGAAAGAGAGGAGATCATGGCCAAAAATATTTAAGTATAGCTTATTAGTCGCTTAGGCACAGGGCCTATGTCTTATGCCTCATTTCTATCCTCTACAGCACTTAGCAAGATAAATATTTACTGATTATGTAAAAAAGAAAGGTCACAGATAGTTTTGGTATTACCCAATGGAAGAAGTGTGCCAAGATGACCTGAGTAATCACTTAAGCAGGCTAAGTATTGCACAGGTTTACAAGAAGGCTCCATCACCTTGCCAAACACAGAGCGGTAATGTAATTTGATGAATGAACACAAGACTAGAAATGAGGAGGTGAAACCAGACCAGCTTTGCCAGCAACCTCTTATAAGACCTTAAACAAGTCACTTCACTTCTCTGAACCACAATTACCTCATCTATAAAGGGGTAAATGTAACTGCTTTATTTCTTCACAGTATCTGGAACACTTTTCTACCAGATCTCTGCTTGGCTAACTTCCTCACTTCTTTTGAATCTTACCTCAAATCTTGCCTTCCTAACAAAGTCTACTTAATACTAATCACCCTACTCAATACTACAACTTGAACATCCCACCAACCTTACCCCTCCATCCTGTACACTGATCTATTATTTTTTCCTTTTTCAGAACACTTCCAACATACTATATAATTTATTATCTTTAAATAATTTATTATCTTTAATAGTTTATTATCTTGTTGCATGCTAGAATGCAAGCTCTGTAAAAGCTAGGATATTTGTTCTATTAATTGATATGCTTCAAGTTTCTGAACAGAGTCTGTAACAGAGTCACATCCAATAAAAAAAAATATTTTTTTTGAGACAGAGTCTTGCTTTGTTGCCCAGGCTAGAGTGAGAGCCGTGGCGTCAGCCTAGCTCACAGCAACCTTAAACTCCGGGGCTCAAGCGATCCTCCTGCCTCAGCCTCCCAAGTAGCTGGGACTACAGGCATGCACCACCATGCCCCCGGCTAATTTTTTCTATATATATTAGCTAGCCAATTAATTTCTTTCTATTTATAGTAGAGACGGGTCTCGCTCTTGCTCAGGCTGGTTTCGAACTCCTGGCCTCGAGCAATCTGCCCACCTCAGCCTCCCAGGGTGCTAGGATTACAGGCGTAAGCCACCCCGCGCCTGGCCCCAATAAATAATTGCTGAATGAATATATGAATTAATCTTTTAAAAGGCCAAAATCTTGTGAAAGAAAAAGACTAGAAAAATAAATATTTCTATTCTCCCCAAAGCCAGGCTTCACTCCCATGTCCTGAAGCATCCCTATACACCCTGGTATCCTCTACCATTGTGTGGGGTTGGTTGCTCAATAAGCTCTTACTGATTACAGAACGCAAAAGGGCAAATACGTCCACGATGTTCTGGAGCCACCTGCTGGCAACTCTCCTTAGTAGCTACCTAAACGATTAAGCTAACAGGAATTTCCAGTGGTGCATGTAGTTACAGGGAACATCTCCCTTCAGCCAGCGAGGACAATCAGGCTATAGATAAAGACAGGAGGAAGGCCAGGAGCGGCGGATGCCACCGCACTCTAGCCAGGGCAACAGAGTGAGACTCTATCTCAAAAAAAAAAAAAAAAAAAAGAGGAAGGAGGCTGGGGTGAAAACAGACCTTTCCAAAAGGTCCTGAAGAGACAGTTAAAACCCCAGTGTTACCCAGAACTCACTTTATGTAACACTTAACAACAATAACAGTACCATGTACTGAGCTCTTCTGTGTCACGTACTATTTTAAGCACTTTCGTGTATTATTCCATTTCATCCTCACATTAATCCATTGATGTATCATTGTCACCACTATTTTATAGATGAAGGAAATTTCCTTTTGAAATAAGTGTTTTTAAGTGCAGTGAAACAATGTAAACTAAAATATGAATAAGAAAAGCCAAGGCATGATGTGCACATGACGTCTAGGGAGTACTAAGGCGCACGTGCTGGCCAGTGTGCCACGACAGAAGAGGCCCAACAATGCTCCAGGGCACTGACCTACCATCCCTCCCCTCACGCCAAATACAACCTCAGTCCGGGATTCTGGATCCTCAAGTCCACTCCGTTTCATTCGGGTCACACCAGAATAAGGAGGATACAGCCTGCTCCTCTGGAAGGCCACCAGGGAGCTCTCCGCACTGAGACAGGAGCTGGGGCCCTCAAGCCCCCAGTGGCCCTTCCTGGCTACATCCGCCAGGAACGCGGGCCCGGAAGTGCAGCCCCTCTGCCGGAAGTAGCTTTCTCTACTTCCCTCAGCGGGAACGCCAGGCTGTGCGAGCGAGTCCGGCAGCTGAAGACCAGTGCCTGAGGGAGGCACTTTTGCTGTTAACAAAATCACTGTCCCAGAGTGGCCGGAGGGACTGCGAAAGAGACCAGCCGACGGACCCTTCCACCCTGCCATTCCACGGCTCCCACCACCTCTTCCGGGGGAGGCCGCCGCTCTGAGCATCCTCCGTGATCTGGGAGGGTGTTCACACCGCACCTCTGCGATGGGTCCCGGCAGCCCTGTCCCCGTGTGGGGCAGCCCCTGTGCCCCTAACGGAGAATGGGGCCTTGGCGCGCAGAGCCCTGTCCTGAGCTCCCAAGGTTCCCCGGATGTCGGAGCTCTCGGCAGTCCCTCCAGGGGCCGCAGCGTCGTGGAGCGCACCCTGTTGGTGGGATAACTCCCAGGGTTCCTCCCTCTGTCCTGTGCCTGGGTTGGACCTGGAGAAGACTTCCCTCAGCCTCCACCCCTATCCCATAAATAAGGGTTTCAGGCGATGGATAAATCCGCCCCCTGGTGGCCTGCAGAAGCCTCGGGCACCTTGGTCCCCCGGGGACAGCCTTGGTTACGTTGTTGACCAAATGGGGTAGCAAGATGGTTTTAGGTACTACGTGCACCTTTTAAAAATGTCTAAGAGTATTTATTCTTGCGTGTATTAGAAAAAAAATTAAAACCAGTACAGCAAGCCCTTTATCTCGAATATTGTTTTAGTACAGGCTAAATTTTTGAGTAGTTAACATTGGTTTAAAGGAAATATTAAATACACAACACACAGATATTGCAAAAATCATGAAGGTGGCACTCAAAAGACTAAGAGAAAGCTGTCAGCTCTACCAGGTCATTGGAGGGAATAGGTATGAGTGATAGTTAATTTTATATGCGAACTAGAGGGTGTTTTGGAAAGGATTAACATTTAAATCAGTAAACTTTGGGTAAAGCAGATTGCCCTCCCTAATGTGGATGGGCCTCATCCATCAGTTCAAGGCCTGACTGGAACAAAGACTGGCCTTCATGAGCAAGAGGGAATTTTCCAGCGAACTGCCTTCAGACTTCGTCCATATCATCAGCTCTCCTGAGTCTCTAGCCTGCTGACCACACTGCAGATTTTGAACTTGCCAGCTTCCATAAGCGCATCAGCCAATTCCTTATAATAAATCTCTTTCTATAAATACACATCCTGTTGGTTCTGTTTCTCTGGGAAATCCTGACAAACACAGTGAGTGATCTCAAATAGCCCTTTCCTCTTTGACTTTGAGCAGAGCTGCAAGGAGGACAGCAGGGGAGAGAGGACTTGGCTCTAAAACCTCTTACTCTCAAATGCTAAGGGCATCCCTCTAGGCCCTATTCACGGGGCACACTGCCCTAGCTTCACTGCTTCCTCTCCTCCTTACTCTTCGTACAAGGTCCCTTGGATGGCAGTTCCTAAAGCACTTCCACTGCTCACTCAAGAGAACAATGTAGTAGAAGGTACATGGAGCTCTGAATCCAAATAAGGATATCTGGTGTCCTGGCTCAGCTCCCTCACAGCTTGCAACATTAGCTTACCAAAGTCCCTTCCCTCATCTCGAATTCTATTGCATCTGATAAGAAGTCTTGATTAAATGATGTCTAAGGTCTCTACTGGAAGTGAACATCTTTTCCCCACTCCTGGCCTCTTTCCACCTCTTTCTTCTCTTTTCTCCTGAGATGGTACAGGACTTAACTGATTGGTAAATTTTGTAAGAATAATTGGCTTAGCTCTGCCCTGCTTCTACTTGGAAACTGCAGAGCTCCTTCATGCCATATAGAAACATACTTCTGTACAGGCAGGCCTGCCCCAGCCCAGGCCTGTCATGATTGGGTAGGTAAATCTGCCTGCTTATTCTAAAATAAGCAAGCCCCAGCTAACAGACCTATGGCTACTGCCTGTTACTTAACCATTATCAACCAAAAAAAATCATATTTTGACCACTATATTTTCTTTCCACTTTTCGACCCTGTTCAGAACAAGGGCAGGGAAATAAAACAATGCTATTTATTAAGATCCCTTTGCAGAACCCAAAATTTTCTTCTAGCCCCTTCTAGTACTTATACTAAATAAGAAATAAAGCATATAATGAATTCACACTAAGGGATTAATATAATCCCTCATAGGATAGCTATACCTAAAAAGCACTATTAAGAAACTGAAGAAGGCCAATGTTTTATGGTAAACATTATACAACTATCTTCCCTCAGTGGACAGTATATTTTAGAATGAGACCTTTTCCGGGGTCTCTCAAATAACATATATGTCTGTCAATCAGTCAACAGTGGTTAAGAAAGTTAAAAGTAGAGATTATAGAGTTAAACTGGTTGAGTTCAAATCCTGCCTATGTTCCTTACTAGCCGTGTGGCCTTGGGTAGGCTATTTAACCTCTCTGTGCCCCAGTTTTTTTCATCTACAAAATGAGGATAATAGTAAGACCTTGAAAGACACTTGGTAAGCACCATAAAACTTCTCTAATGTGTCGGATACTATGTTAGTCCTACATGCCCAAGTACTTTACCTCTAGAATAAAATCCATGGAACCAGGAAAGGAAATGGATTGTAGAGTTTGTAGGAATCATAAAATTAAATCAAATGTGAACATTAGGGCTAGTGACAAGGATAAATTTCTGGACAAACATGACTTAGAAAACAAGACCATCTTCCCAGGACAAACCCCTCAGACTGATATTCAATTGCCTAACTCAACTTCCAAATCCAGAAAGCTCTTTGGGGCACATGAGGCACACCTGAACAATGTGCACAGGGCTTTGCTTCCTAATAGTACTGAGCATAATTCCCCTAAACTGCCACCAGGTGTCTACAGACATTCACACTTGCCCTCTGGCTCCCTAGTCCACAAAAGTGGGAGCTGGAACTGAGAGAGAAGCAGCTAGCCCATGGATACCCAATATTAGTGATGAACTCTGCACTGGAACCCAGGTTTGTGTGGCTGGTTACTATTCGGCCCTGGCTCCAAAGTGCTCCGGAAATAGAAGAAACAGATTTCAAAGAAAGAATCTAAGACCCAGGAGGAGCTTGACATGCCATCATACCACCCATCCCTCTACCTCCTTGATAGATAACACTTAGGCCATAGCAACCAAAGAATAATCCTCTAGCCCACTAGAAAAGGATTTAAATTGTTCCTCAGTCTCTTTGACCCTTCACCCCAGGTTCCAACACTTTTCACTGCTAAGAAGTTTTTCTTGGCTCTGCCTTCAGATGTCAGCACTGAAATTCTCAGCTTATACCAGCTGACCCAGATACATTTCCTCCTTTTTGTCTTTAATGTCCTTCTCCCTGTAAGCACAGAAGCACCTTGGGTACTATTCAGTGCAGAGCAGGAGTCCCAAATGTAAATATCCTCCTCTCTTCCCCCTCTTAGTTCTAGCTGTTGACAAACCTAGAAATGACTATATGCATCTCCTTTCTTGATAAACAGTACTTGTAGCTCAGAGTCCATCATTAGCCACCAAGCATATTCAGGCTTCCACTACAGCTATTTATGTGTTTGTCTTGCTTACACAAGTATATGCCACCACCACTACTAGATCATAAGTTCCTTGAGGGCAGGAACTCTGGCTTTCTATTCCTTCCAGCACTACACATGGTGACTTACATAATGAATGCTTGTTGAATTGGCCCCAGTGGTGACAAACTTGAAAGGCCTGTGTGGATTCCAAATGTGGGATTTTATGTCCATGTCAGATTGTTGCCTTTCTGGAAAGTGCTGTTTGTCTACCTATTGGCAACACTGGCTCTGGTTGTAGAGACACATGGGTGGTATAATGCATGGCCCTGGATGTTGGGACAAGGCTCAGGCTGAACAAATCTGAGAAAGCAAAAGGAGAGATGGGCACAGAAACCTCCATGGCCTGGCCCTCCCCTGACTCTGCAGCTACCCAAGGGAGTCATCTTCTACCCTTCTCAACTTTTCTCTTCCCCCTTTTTTCCCTCCCACCTTTCTGTATCCCCTCATCTCTCTGTTCTTCCCTTCTTTGTCCCTTTCGCTCTCTCCTCTTAGTCCCCTTTTCCCTCTCCTCTCCACCCTTCTGCTCATGTTTCCTCTTCTCCTTTTCCATCTCCCAGCATTGAATGTACAAAAGCATAGCTCTGTTCCTAAGACTCAAGGTCCTGCTAGAGGGGCTCCAGAGACCACTCAAAGGCAACCCATAGGCAGCTCAATGGTGGTAACATTTGCAATCATCTGTGCTAAAGGACTCTATACCAGTGAGGACTCCTATAAAAGATTATTTACTTCCTGTACCTCTGATCTTATTTGCATATGTTGTTCAATAGATCTCTTGCTCTCCAGATGCTGGCTTCTATTGTCCTTTGCACTAAGCCTTCCAGAATAGGGTAAATCCCACCCTGCTCCATGGGAGTCCATGTTGCTACTTGCAGATAAGTCTATTCAAAAATCCTCGGAGCCCATGTTTCCTACAGAGGGCAGTCAGAATACCACAGGGCTGCAGGCTCACTTCAGGAGCCAACAAGCACCTACTTCATACACAGGGAGTTCATTGGCAGTACAGCAACTTTATCACCAGTCAGAGAGAAGCAAAGATCCAACCCTGAGTTTGGCTCATGCTCAGGGAGCACACAGCCTTGCCAATTCTATTGCCCCAGTCTCAACAAATAGTCACTGAGCATCTGCTCTGAACAAGGTGCTGAACTGCATTCTATGCTGAATCAGAATTGAAAAGCAACCAAACACATACCCTGTTTGGTGGGGTCCAATTAGTCTTGTAATAGCTTTGCCAGCTGCTGTACCACCTTGCCACTAACTTAGGGGCTCTTCCCACTCACCTCCTTCATAGTTCAGGCCCTGATCTAAGAAATAGAAATCTTATGCACCTCTGTAAAGGGATCTCTTTAGCATAGGGTGAGCAACTACAAGTTTTCATTTATACTTTTGGTCATAATAGTAGGAGATGAAAACTGGCAGTAAAGGAAGACCACAGGGAAGAGCTCCAGAGCAAAACACATTGGAAATGCCAAATGCCACAGCAACTCTATAAGCTGGTGCCAGTGATTGGTATCAAGGAATGGGTAGTTGCCCTGGGCTCCCGATGCCCTGCCAAGACCACACCCAGGGCATCTTAGAGCCAAGATTATTAGCATTGAAAGGGACCAATATCCTCTTTTCTCCTTCCCACCTTTAGCCATTTTGTACAGAGAAAACTAGGAGACATCGAGGTAAGGTGATTTGCCCAACATCAAATGACTGATCAGTGAAAGCACTGGGATTTGAGCCCAGTTTTTCTGATTCTTATTACAAGGCTCTGGTTGCAAGTACCCAATTGTGCCTAATCGCTTAGCAAGAGGCTACAATGCCAAATGTAACAGTGAACTTGTGGCAACTTGTAGCTGGGGCTGGTTCCACCAGAAAGCAGCAAAACCAGCATACAAAGTAGCTGCTATTTCTGGGGAATAATCTGAAGTAAGTTTATTTCACTGGTAGGCTGACTACTAAGGAGTGAGCTCATGGGTTCCCCAGGGGTCTTGAGGCTCCAGGAGGTTGATTCACACAAGCCACACTCAGCATCTCCCAGCTGATATGCCAGACACCAGTATTCATATATATAATAGACACTGGGCCTCATCATTAGGCCAGAGCACTGGGACCTGCCTGTCATGATGCACATGATCACTAAGATGTCCGCATGATGTATCAGAAGTTTGCAAGGGGACAGATAATGTTTCACCTTGAGAGATATTTTAAATTAAAGAACCAGATTGTCCTTGAATACTGAATACTGCTAAAGGAAATAAAAATTCAAACTTGTCCACTCTCCTTTTTTTAATATATCATGGTGACCTCTTCGCTGGCCCTTGTCACTCCAACATCCCCCAGCACCACACTAGCAAGCTCTTGTAACATACTACACCACTTTCCAAGCCTACAGATGAGTCTGCATTGATTTCACTTCATGGTGGTTATTTCCAGGTGCTTCATTAAGGAAGCACTATAAACTCACTCAACCATCCATAGCTGGATAAAGTACTTCTGGGAAGGCTTTTGCTAAAACAAGCAGGTAAAACATGTCTTCTCCATAATATGTGACTTTGGGCAGCCTCAAAGAGGACTGATGTGGGTCTTGTGTTCTCTTCCAAACTTTTTGCCTCTATTATTAAATATTTTTGACCTAGATCTTTGAGCTCTTTGGGTCTTATATTGCCCTCTCCCTTCTAAGAACTAGGTCACTCTCCAAATCCTGGTCTTCAGTGCCTAGGGTAAGACAGAACCTTGGTGGTTGGCCGTTGC